TTTCGTTTACACACTAAAATACCTTCATATGTGTCTAAAAAGCAATATTGGAAGCGTTCTACGTGACGTATAGTGATGTGGTTGTATGTCAAAGTTACGTTTATTAAAGATTTTTTTTCTTTCTATAGTGCCGAATACAAAATATTTCAGCTTTCGGCAGAGTAGAGTAATATTTATCGTTATTGTACGTACCGCATGTAAGTGATTAATGTTTTAGTTTTTCTTATTTTGCGCGGCGTACTCTGCGGCTCTACTGGTGCCGGGCGGACTAATTACAAAGCAACGTTGTTCCAAATAAAAGAACAACTTTTAATATGTTGCCACGGTTTGTAAGTTTTTAGTAAAATTTGATTTTCTACGCTTCCATTCTGTAGATTTGTCAATATAAACCACTAACAAAATGATCGAAGACATGTGTAACTATTGATAGGTTGCTAGGCGACGTTTCCCGAACAGAATATAAACGTTGCTTTTTCGGATATTGCGTGATGTTCAACCGATAGAAGTGTCTTTTGTTTCTTTCCAAACATAACGTGGTAATCAAAACAATCGTGTTTCGTTCTATCTTTCCACCCATCTTTCACTTTTTGCGGACAAGCTTAGTACAGTTTTTTGTTCAGATTCGTCGCTGTTTTTGTGACGACACATTTGGGTCTTTTGCGTAACCATATGTAACAGTCGAGGCTTAGATATTCTTTCCTTATGGTTTGTATAAAAGAGTGATTTACACGTATGTTTTACCACAATCCTACGCCCAGGTGGCTTACTTACTCGCTATTACGAAGGGATTTTCCCTTAAACCCACAATTTTATTCATGGTCATGAATAATTACAAGACTATGAATGCGTAGGCATCTATATCGACAAAGCGGTTGGAAACAGTTTGTCGCGTCGGTGAATGTACGCTACATCGTAGCTGCGGTGCAGACGATTATTTGAGGAGATAAAAAAGTCGATGGCGAGATTGCATTTATATAAAGTCCGTTGCAATTGCGTCGCAACGAGCGGTTATTTTCTTAGGCAATTCCGATTATCTTTCCGCGGCGAATCATTAGGGGCCATCCGGGGCTTAGCGCGACATTGTGGATTATGCTTCCATCTACTAAAAGATAGTTTTTAGCTCTCTTCTCTTCTCGATTATTTCTTTTATTAGGTCTGGTTTATCCCAGCAATGTTTTATTATTTCAAAACGTCAGCTATTACGTAGGTAAGTGGTCCGAGGCGCCACGTTATGACTGGCCCGTGGAGATATTGTTTGGCATTGAACTCAGATCTATTTGTGACGGAATGAGGGTTTTCGTACTTGTTTCCGTTCCTTTTTATTGGGAGGTCTCTGTTTTGGTTATATATACACACGATTCTATCGGGATTTTATTTTGATGTGATTTTTCGTGGAAACGCGGTCACTTCGGCGATAGCAAAACGATTTATAAAAAATACTGGAACATATGTAGTGTTATTTTATTTTTGTTAGAATGCAATTTTGTATCCATGTATAAAACTATACTTGTTTGTCAGGGTTGCCAAGTATTGCGGAAACATTTTAAGTGATAAATTCTTTAGATTTGTAACGTGATATGAAAAGCTCAAATTAAATGTACAACCAGTAATCATGGTTAACCAAAAAATATGAAGCCTATTCATAGGCGACACATACCGACATTATAAAAGCTGTTGATGAGCGCAGTAGTTCATGTGTGTATCGTATTTCGAACGAGTAACAATGGGAATTAAAATAGCATCGTTCATGAAGCTAGGCGGTGACGATGGTTCAAAAGCTTTCACCGCACGTAATTTATTATCATGTTTTGTTGCCAGATCCATAAATAAAGAGTAACCACTTAAAAGCTACGTACAATGTTTGAATAATAGTATTACGAGTAGGCTCTTAAAACAACCTCTTATTTCGAGTCCCCTAACAATTATTGGTTTAACAGAAAATATCGAATCGGAGCTTACTTTTATTTTCCAAGTTTTTATGTTGTTATTTGAAACGCTGCGATGTTTCGTGGAATGTTAAATATGAAAATGTTTTCGATGTTCATTTTTTGTTATACGGACAGTGTATATTGTCGAAGTCAAGGTTATATGTACTTTTCGTTTTAACTGGGAACGATTACGATTTCAGTTAACTTCCTGGCCAACAAGCCATTGTTTTGTAATAAAACGTAAAATATATATTGTTAAGTCAGAACAAAGAGAAAATATGTTCTCGAAAATAGATAAAAAGACCTTTATTTTCAATACCTAACTTATCTATTATTCATAACTTTCATGATATTAGTGGGAGGTGTACAATAATATCTCCATTGTGTTCGTAAAGTACCTACAAAGGTCCAAATATTCTGGTCGACATATTCCATAACTCCAATATTTTCTTTTTACTAACCCTAAACATTCGTAAAGTGCCTTCCTAAACATCTTTTGTCCATAAAAAATGTATTATTAAAGGCCTCTCTTTGTATTACAAGCCAAAGTTAGCCAATCGGCTGAGGTATTCGTAAGCTAACATTCCGAACTATACATTATACTTGTGTATACAATTTCTAAGTTCCTGGATAATATTGCACTTGCATACTATGTACTATATACTTATATAACTATTGTATAAGTAGGACGGGTTATGTTAGGGTTTATAGCTGTTCTCGGGAGGCCTCAGGATACAACAGCCAAATCCTTTCCTTGGTTGAAAATTTTTGTATAAAATCATCATATACTATGTACCCTAAGAGACTCGTATCTCCAAAACCCTTCTTAAGCCTGCTGAGCACTTAAGTGGTTGTGCTCAGAAACTTATTTACATTGAATAATACGTATTACCTAGTGTATGAACGAAATTACAAACGTTTGCCGAAGTGTTTTGAAGAACTGGCTTGAGTTAGGGCTGGGCCTTAAAGCTCAGACGTAAAGGTGACCCCAGTCAATGAGACGGCTCCTAAAGGGGATACGGGCTGTCTACAATCTACAGCGGCCAGCTTCTAGTTTAGGTTTTTCTTTTAAGTGTATTTGTACGTTAGATCAGTAACTGCTTTTGCTCTTATTTACGTAGGCATTGGATACAAAATACCTTGTTTATTTTTCTTCTTACACAAGGCCTCGTCTGTGAAAACTGTTGTACAGTATCCACTCATTAGACGCTGTTCATTTGTTCTAGCTGTATTGATTTTGCACAATTTAACTGAGTTTGCAGTTAAGTCGTGACTTAATTTTAAAGATTTGGAAATCAAATTCTGTCCCTTTTTAATCGGCTTTCGTATTTCTGTGAAGATATTGAACGATGATTTTCCTATATATATATATAGGATTATGTTCTCCTTTGTTATACATTTTCATTGTATTTTCTTTCCTTTCAGGTAAGCTTGGATTGACTCGTGCCTCAGCTTTAGTGAGTACGTATAGTATTCTATGTATACCGAAACATTACATTGTACAAAATGAGATGGTCTGTAAATAAGGTACCCACCTACTATGTGTCTTCGTCTTGAACGAAAACACGTATTATATTATGTTGTAGTTGAGGATTTGATATCGAAATATTTTTCAACATTTAATCTTGGTTTTCTTCGAAGAGTAATACTCCCATAATCAGCACTTTTTCGTAACATAGCCTATTCGAGCAATTTTATCGTCACTTATTACATTGTGTACACTATCGTCACAAATCACTGTTTTTCTATCGTCGGCTTTCGTCGTCTTTGTCACCGACAAAAAATACGTTTGACATTCGACATGATAACTCGCTTAGAGCGTGGGGGCTTATTACCGCTCCGTGCTAAATATCATGGTAGAATACTGATCTTGTTTGTCTTACGCGACGTCGGAGCTACTAACGCAATTAAACGTGGTAGCTGGCAAGCTATAAAATGAATAATTCTGCCTTTGATATCTATGACATCACAGCTCGTATATTTAGTATAGCCGGGAGATAGCAACGATCGATCTGCGCTGTCCCTGTCGCCTTCTCGGACAGAATTCCGCCTAGTAAGCAGTAAAAATAAATGACGGCAAACAGGGTTGGGTAGGTACTGGGTAGTATGTACGACGAAACGTTAACAGGTCGATTATACGAGGCCATCGAGCGCGTACCTACTTGAGTGATCCCGGAGCACTCCGGTCGCGTGCCTAATGACGGGTCACGCATTTAAACGGGCACCCTGTTCCCAGTCAATCGGTTATTCCAATAAAATAGCTACACTCGTATGTAATTCATTTGAATATAGTGCTTTTCATTGGATTTCCTCATCTAATAAAAGTAGATACAAAGAAAGTAATAAGGAAATGTACACGTAATTAAAAATTCCAAGTGAACGCAATGGTCTGTGCCCGTGGCGCAGTAGTTAGCGCGAGAAAGAACACATGCACTGTGAGGCTCTAACTATCACTTTGTTTCAAATTTACTTATGAAGTTATTTTTATTTTATTCTTTACTTTTACTGCATTGGCTATATGCAGTAGTATGTGTTTGTTTACGCGATACATTACTGTAAGGTTAGAGCTGATTTATTCTGGGCATGAATAACAGCATTCGTGGCAGTATTGCAGCTGTACATACGAAATGCACATAGAGGTACATAGTATTTTATGTCGGCACACCTTTACCTATACCTACCAGTTTCCAATTGTGCACGGCTAGGTGATGTGAATAAGTAAGCGCGTTGCTTACATTTGTGGCCATAAAGTCAGCACTTTCGCACATAGTGTTTTATTGTACCCTTGTACTACGGAGCCACCAACGCCATGTTATGAGAAACCATTTGTTAATGTCGAATAGAGATGTTTAATATGTTTTGCAAATAGCTTAGGCGTGTTGCCAAAATGTTAACAGAATAGAAAACTTATTCGTACCAAGCGGACGCATAACTTCTAAGTACTTACAGTAAATAAGTGCACTCACTATATGGTGTCTTATTTAGTCAGAATGTGGTACAATTCCATTTCGTTATTGCACTTCTAATAAAAAATCTCCTCTATGTAGTATATTTTAGCTTCCTTACCTAACAATGTCCCCATACAAACGACTAAATAACAAGCTTTGTATCTCCTCAAGATCAGCTGAAAATCAAAATGCCGAAAAAAATGTCGATTCATTTCAAGATAATGAATGGAGTTCAGCAATTCATTGTCCGTGGGAAATAATTAACTGGCTGACTCGACATAAATCGAAGCATCCCCAACTGAAAGTCCAAAGATTATGCAAAGTTATAATCCTCCTGTTGCCTACAACCTTTGTGTCAACGGCATTAAGAATAAATCTTAAACCATTTAGTCTGCGGAGTGGTTTACTTCAAGATATAATTTTTAAAAGTAGAGAGCACTTCTCTTAATTTGTTGTAGTCGCTTGAGATAATTTATATGAAGCTAACAATCCTTTTAGCGTGTACATTATAATTTGGGCGGTGCAAGCGGGCAGCGTGAGTTTAGCGCGGTCGTCATTGTTTTCAGGCGGTAATTTATATTGTGCTTTAGGAAATTAGCGACGCGGCCGCCACAGGCTCAGGTGCCACCGCGCGCCATTACCGACCAGATTTACTCCGCAGATCTCGCTCTGCTGAGACAAGTAATTTGTTGTGTAATTATTACAGCTCATTAAAAATGTATTAACTACGATCCCTTTATTTAATTTTAGAAACAGGTGGACTCGTCGCGTCTTGTTTCATGGCACAGATTTATTCTACGCGTTCTTACTGGGCGATTCAGAGAAGTTTTGTTTGAAAATTAAAAGTTAAATCAATTATTCGGTCTGTTGAGCAATTACTCATTAATTAGCGAATTCTGGCGTGATCGTGTTCTCTGTTATTACCTGTTTAATGTTGGTATCAATTAACCGATATTAAAAACTATCTGCAAACCGTCCATTGTCGAAATGAACACAATTTACTTTTGTGTTGTGTTCGGTGTGAATGGTAAGGCATATAATTATGTTCGCAATTTCAGTAAATCACGGAGCATCATTGAGTATAATTAGGTGCCATTGAAAGTGTTAAGGGAAATTAGTCTTTGGTACTTGTGAATTTCATAAATGAATTTCCGAGATTATTGAATTTGATCTCAGAGGTGGAATAAGCTTGTACGGACGTTAGGTTACACAATGTTTGTGAGACTCAAAGACCACAAAGAGCAGCGGTTCGTAAACGGGGTATAAAAACTTCATAAAATAATATGTCCACCAGTTGTTTTTGTCGTGTATGAGCGCGCCGACATTTTACAAAATTTCAGTGCGTTTTAATGCGAATCTCTTTTTCCTCTTTTTAGCGGTAATGGTGACAGCCTCCGAGTTTTCCCCGACGACCATTTATAACGAGTTTTAATCGCGACACGGAAATTAGTTATATTACGCGTCTATCCGGGCTGCCGACTATATTATATGGTTATTAACTCCGACGCGAGTCACGAGCCCTGGGGTGCACCGCGGCCTAAATGAAACACGATAATTATGCCTCTTGAATAAAACGACCACCAACTTTCACGGCCCATCCAATTAATACACCTCATAACTGAATTTATTATTTGGTGGTATAACGGAGCTGTGACGTTCTTTCTCTAGAAAATAAATGCGTACGAATGGCGCAGATTTTTCTATCGAATATTCTAGTGTCCCAAGCGGATGAAACTAGGTTTCTAGGCGAAAACTAGTGTAAGGATACGAGAATTTTTGGTCTTTAGTTTAGTGCTAGCTAATGCGTTCAAAAACTGGGCAATGGTGGGATGTAATGATACAACAGGTAACATAATCACAATAGTATTTTAATCTGCTTTCCTGATGGTAAGTAATGTATACACACAGAAGAAGTTGTTTACTTTGTTATACGACATGGTCTTGAATGCGTAGCGGCCGTAAAAGAAACTTGTTCCCAAAAACACCTTAGTTTTTCCTAAAAAGTCAAGGTGTATCTCGTACTGGCCCTGTGCATAAAATGACATTTAATTTTATGTGTTCTACCTTTCTCTGAAATTAGTTGATACCTATCTGAATATCTTACCTTGTTAACTTTGCAATTCTTAGTCAAATTGAACGAATCCACGAGAACGGGCCCCATAACAAAATGTTCGCAGGGCTTGTTCAAAGCATAGTTCCACAGCTTTTTTGTGACGTTGTTGTTTATCGTGCTAACCACAATTTTTGCCTGTTTGAAATGGAAATTAGTTACTAAAATATGTGATAGACTGGATAGTTTTTTTAATGAAACATTTTTAATTAAAACACCTACCGAGGTAGCCGGGCAATCCTTGGGAAAATCCAACAGAAACACAACGTCGGATTTGTTTTGTGAACTCTTGATTTCAAACTTGCCGCACTCGCCCTGTTTGGGACCTTTACATTCTTCAAACTTTTCCCATTCTATTTGGTATGGACCCTAGAATTTAACAGAAGGGTGTAATTAAAATTATCCACTCGTTCTCTAGTTACATTTTCTTTATTGGCTATCTTGTGAATTTGGAAGATAATTTAAATTGTTTCGGTGTGTCGCAACTAGGGTTTGATTTACTTTCAACTTGTAATAATACACGAAGAGTATTTTGTGAGGCTGGTATTTGCATACATTCAAAAGAAATTAGTTCTTAATAAATTCAATCTGTTCGTTGAGTCGAGCAGAGAAAGAAATCAATAGGAATTCTGATTTGGACATCTAATTAGGTGTGAACAGATATACCTACACTATTGATAGATCAGTGAGGTGAGCAAATGTTCGGATGGCGGATATTCCTTTGTCAAAACTAGAGACACGCTTGACTAAATCAATGATATCCATCCGTATTTTGGTACTGAAGTTTGATAACGTATTAATTAAATGGCGCTTTAGGGCAAAATGAACGGTCATTGTATGGGTTTATGAATTTGAACTCTAAACTTAAACCAATAAAGTGGCTTGTTTGATACCCCAAGGATCCCAATACCTTTGATGTACAAATACACCCAACGGATATTATCACTCTAGGTGCCTATAGAAGACTTTATTGAGTTTGCAGCTGAATAAGAGCGGTTACGAAGCAAATATTCGGAATTTTATAAATACCACTTGTAATGAAACTAAGTAATTGATTTCAAGAAATGTCTACGTGACTTGAAATACAAATTCCAAGCGTAGTTGAAATAGTACTTTTTTATGAATTGAAGAAATATAATTAGATAAGTAAAGAAATTGTGTTTTATCTGAAAAAATACACCTGCGCGTCGGTATATTGGTATCGTATCTTCTGAATTGCTTTATACGCAGTTAACGCACCGTCGGCTTAACGCGCTCCTGCGCTGTCAAGAAAAATAAAATATTGGTGTACCGGGAGCCGCGCGGTTAGCTCGGGGACGGAACACGCCGGGAGCCACGCCACGGTATCGCGCCGCGCGAGGTAAACGTGCCGATGTGTTAATGGCAACCGTTCCCTAGCCTCAACTAAATGTCCGTGAACATTCCTCGTGCACATATCTTACCCGGCTAATACGAACCTCACCCCTGATTCAGTAATAAGCCTTGCTATATCTACTTACGTAGTTGTTGGAATCCATTTGGCCTATTCCTTTAATTATTAACGAGAAAAATATAAGAATATGCACTAATAACCGCATTGCCTCTTGCGGCACAGACAGTACCGACGTACTCCACACATAATACATATTGTACTATTGAAATTTTCCATAACAGTAGCTAGTGTTACGAAAAATTTGATTACATTGATGTTTAGATTATTTTCTAGTAATTATTATAATTGCATTGACAAAAGTTGTCATTAAAAATGTAATTTCCGGAGATCTGTATGATTGTGAATAATTGCGTTTGCTCGGATATTGAATATCGAAGGAGAGATGTTATCTCCGTAATGTTTGATCATTGCTTGCGTCTCACAAGATACAGTCGAGCGTGTTATGCTAATGTTTAGTGCGCAAAGGAATCATATAATAGAATTAATAACACAGGGTCGTTACGGGCCTCGCGTTCCTCCGGCAATCATTAGTGCATTTTATTTCACGAGTCGCGCAGTGCTGCTCAACTTCGTAGGTGGCTTAATGCGTTTTCCCATTACCTGTCACCTCTACCATATACAATCCTTTTAAGCTCAACCCATTGTTTTCATATCGGAGTGTTTCATTATTCAAATACATACATGTCAATATGTTACATATTACGTTTCGTCCGGAGATTACAATTTGTATTGAATTTCAATATTCGGAAACTAATGAAATTATTTTGCACCTGATGCTATTCCATCGGATACAAAATACGATTGTTATTGAATAAATTAGTGTTTTATTGTAGTCTTTTGTATCGATAGCGGGAAGCTTAAATAGGATAATCGCTTTGATGGACCAAAGCAATCAAAGTCTGTATGTCAAGTACGTTTAAAGCGTCGGTAGTGGTGGTCGACATCGTCGAACTGTTCTTGTGCAGCGAGCACTAGCTTAGTTGAGTGGTTTGCTCCGCCATTTGTTATACGAAACTAGATACCAGTGAGTGCACTCGGTTCGGCGGCTATATCTGAGTCTTCCGCAGACCCTCGACCTCTCTGTTTGCCAGCTTATGTGGCGATCGCTGGGCTTAGTCTAAATTGCAATTAAACGAACTTGCGCTTTTGCCCATTCGCCGGACCGTTATTGAACTGTTTCTAGGTTAGAGGCGTGTGAAAATAATTTTGAAACAGAGAAAGCGAATTTTCTCACTTGGTGAAATCTATAAAAGCCTCGGCGCTCCGTCAGCAGTTTGAGAGATATTATGTTTTCATGGATACTTTCGGCGCTCAATCTTTAGAAATGGCTCTCACGATAAAGTGTTGGAACGTCCCTCTGACCTATTCAGGGGTTCGCTAAGAAATCGTATCGTCATCTTGTGAGCTAAGTATCTGTGACGAGGTGGACACGGAGTGCGTGCGGAATCTGTATGTCCTGAGGTAATTTAGTCAAATCGATTCACCGGCTTACGTATTCTAGGGGCGGCAGGTTTAATAACGTCTTTGATAAAGACGTGTATTCGGGCCGGGTTGGATGAATGTGAGGCCCTAATATGCTTCGTCTTCGTCGCGCCGACGTCGACCGCTGTCGACTCCAAATATGGGTTTCATCGTAATATTCGTTGCCGCAGCTCACGCCCATTCATATGGATAGTGCGGCATAGTTTACATATTTTGATGCGCGGCCGCTTTAATAAAGCCATTAATTTTAATAATGCTACGCTCACACGTTTAACATTCGCGGTCGCGTTTAATAGTTTCTCCTTTACCTACATCTAGTTAGGAGAGTAAGTTATTAGATAGCTGTTTAATTAATGTCGTGTAAATATTTACGTTACATCAGACAGAGTAGATGAAGAAATTTTCATGTTAAAACTTTTGTCTA